TCCATATTGCCTCAAATCCAGTGTATCATGAAAGAACCAAACATATTGAAGTTGGCTGTCATTTTATTCGTGAGAAGATTCAAGAGAACTTGATTTCCACTGGCTACGTGAAGACAGGAGAGCAACTAGCTGATTTGTTCACTAAAGCATTGAATGGCACTCGAGTTGATTACCTTTGTAACAAGCTAGGCATGATCAATATTTATGCTCCACCTTGAGGGGGAGTGTTACAGAATGAACCTAGACACTTTACACAATGAACATAGACTGTTTCTTAGTAGTATACATAACTCATATATATAGATAGCAGATTAGTAGGAATCTCTTTTATTTTCTTTCCTTAGTTAGCACCTGATGTACATGTATATATATGTATCACTACATGGAATAATACACCAATTTGATTCTTCCATACCTTGTTAATTACAATTGCATATGTGCAAGATTGAATTTTCTTTAGTATCTTATGTTCTTCATTCCATAATTGAAGTCTTCCGTAATCTTTAGAATTAATAAAAAGCACGAGTACATATAGTAAAAGTATAAAAAAAAAACCAGCCAAAAGATTAACAAAAAAAAATTGAAACTAACAAAATGAGAAAAAATCACTTATGCGGGGTAGGGGTGGGCATCGGTCGATTCGGTTCGGTTATAAATATTATCGGTTTAGCATATCGGTTATCGGTTTACAAATTTGATAAACTGATAACCGAACCGATAAGATATCGATTATTGGGTATCGGTTAATCGGTTATCGATCATTATCGGTTCGGTTATCGGTTTACCCGATAAGATAACTCAATCTAGAGTTAAGCAAAAAAGAGAAGATAATTCACTGGAGTTAAGCAAAAAAGAGAAGAATTCACATATAATATACTAAAGACTTACACTAGGAGTAACTAGTAAGGTCTATGAAGAATGAAGATGAACCAACTGAAGAGTTCGGTTGAGAACGAATAGGAGAGAATGAACTGAAGCCCTAACATTTGTATATACTTAAGGGTAAAGTCGTAATTTTATTAATTCTTATTGGGTTATCGGTTAACCCATTAACTAAATTGACAAACCGAGGCCCGAACCGATAACCCAATAGTGAAAAAATTCTAACTGTTATCGAACCATTAACCTAATAACCCGATACCGATAACCCAATAAACAATTAACAGTTCGGGTTATTAGTTTTACGGCCCGATATATGCCCAGCCCTAATGCGGGGCGGGGCGGGTGAATGCGGGTGCAACTGTTATGTGGGGCGGGGCAGGGCGGGCCGAGTTGAAATTCTGCGGGTTAAGAGAAAACCTGCCCCACACCTGTACCGCTTGCCATCCCTAACGATGTGATTATATTATGGGTTTAAGTTGCTGTGAATTTATGTAGGATTTTAGTTCTTAACTAATTGCCATCAAAAGGAAAAACTAATCGCAGTTACACAGTAAGTATGAGGGTAAAATGTGAGTTGGAAATAGATAGCTTCTTGTTCCTTTGTATAGTTTCTCGTAGCATAAAGCAAATTACTGCTACCCCGAGGCTTTGAATAGTTCATGAACCTCTAAAGGGGTGAATTTGGGCAGAGAAAAGTACTTAAATAGAGTGAAAAAAGGGGTGGATTGTGCTCGTTTCTCCTGGTTAGGTGCTGCATTCTAATTCTATTAAAATTATTCATTTTTCTTTCTAGTTTTTTAACTATATTTGCTACTATTACATAAAAATATTTGGATAAAATGTGAAAACGGAAGAGATGGTTGACAACTGTAGAGAAAAGGATGTGCGAATAAAGGAAGATGCCAAATGGGTTGGATCCAAGTTGTAAATGGGTATATAAAAGATGACAGCGACAGGATTCACTTGTGTATGTCTTGTCTGTGTAAGGAAGGGGGAAAAAAGAGAGTAACTCGTGAGTCGTTGAGGTTTGAATTTTGATGAGGATGTGATTACAACACTTGTCGTCTTGTCCCAACTACTATCAAATTAGGACTACGGAAAAGGGTTCAAAATACCCCTAAACTATTGAAAAAGGTTTAAAAATATCCTTCATTCACCTAGTGGGCTAACAATACCCCTCCATCCACTTTTTTGGTTCACTTATGCCCTTTGACCGTTAGGTCAATGCTGAATTAAAAATAATTATTATTCCTTTTGTAAAACTTAAAAAAAAAAAAATTCACAAAATATTTTCGTTTTTTTAAACTAATGCACCAGTAGTCCACTAATTTAGTAAAGTCTTCTTCTTCTTTGTTTTCCGAGTCCTGAAGGCAATCTTCGGGATATCTGGCTCCCGAATCTTCAACTGATGGTACCCTGAGCGCAAGTCAATCTTAGAAGACACATGTGCGCCCTGAAGCTGGTCAAATAGATCATCAATACGAGGCAAAGGATAACGGTTCTTCACTGTAACCTTGTTCAACTGACGATAATCGATACACATGCGCATAGAACCATCTTGTTTCTTCACAAACAAGACAGGAGCACCCCAAGGTGAAACACTGGGTCGAATAAAACCCTTACCAAGCAATTCTTGTAACTGATCCTTCAACTCCTTCAACTCAGGTGGAGCCATACGATACAGAGGAATGGAAATGGGCTGAGTGCCCGGCAACAGATCAATGCCAAAATCGATGTCTCTATCGGGCGGCATGCCCGGAAGATCAGCTAGAAACATATCAGGATAATCCCGTACCACTGGAACTGAGTCAACAGAAGGGGTATCAACACTGACATCTCTCACATAAGCTAAATACATGGCACACCTCTTCTCAACCGTACGATGAGCTTTAAGAAAAGAGATAAATCTACTGGGAGTGTGATCTGAAGTACCACTCCACTCAATACGCGGAATACCTGGCATAGCCAGCGTCACGGTCTTGGCGTGACAATCAAGAATAGCAAAATGGGGCGACAACCAGTCCATGCCCAAGATAATGTCAAAATCCACCATACCGAGTAATAATAAGTCCGCTCTGGTCTCAAAAACACGAATAGTAACCAAACATGACCGATAAACGTGGTCCACAACAAGAGAATCTCCCATAGGAGTAGAAACATAAACGGGGGCACTCAAAGAATCCCGAGGCATACCCAAATGCGGAGCAAAGTAAGAAGACACATAAGAATAAGTAGAGCCTGGATCGAATAGAACCGATGCCTCTCTGTGACAAACCAGTATAGTACCTGTGATGATGGAGTCAGAGGCAACAGTCTCAGTGCGAGCAGGAATACAATAATATCTGGCCCGGCCCCTCTCTCGAGGGCGACCTCTATCTCCCAGACCTCCACCCCTAGCCGGCTGGACAGGTGGGGTAGCAGCTGGAGCTGTGATCATGGCCTGAGAACTCTGAGGAGCACGCTGTGGCTGAGCAGTCTGTGAAGATGCACCCCTACCAAATCTAGGGCAGTCCCTAACCATGTGGCCTGTATCACCACACTCAAAACAAGCTCTGGGAGGACGCGGTGGCTGTGACTGGTTGGCACTAGGCCTGCTGGAAAACAAAGAAGAAGAAGACTTTACTAAATTAGTGGACTACTGGTGCATTAGTTTAAAAAAACGAAAATATTTTGCAAAATATTTTTTTTTAAGCTTTACAAAAAGAATAATAATTATTTTTAATTTAGCATTGACCTAACGGTCAAAGGGCATAAGTGAACCAAAAAAGTGGATGATGGGGTATTTTTAATCCAATAGGAGGATGAAGGGTATTTTTAAACCTTTTCCAATAGTTTAGGGACATTTTGAACCCTTTTCCGTTAGGACTATAGGAGAGTGTCTCTTTTTTTTTTCCCTCCCTTTTTCCTTCTCTTTATTAGGTACACACAATCAGATATTTTTTATGCTTGCCTATGCATTGATGCTGAATTGCACATTTTCATAATTTATGTTCGTCGAATTATTACTGTGTAGGATATGATCGATTTCTATGTTCCCCTTTCCGGCTATCTCTCCGTCGAAATCGGAAAATTGATAATTGTGTTGTGGTTGGCTTAAATATGTTAATTATTTCTAGAGTTTAGTCAAGAAATATATACACAGTTTTTTTACTTAAGAAAATAATTTCACTTAAGTTTTATTGAAAGAGACATAAGGCTCAATGAAATATGAATTCAACAGCCAACATTATGACATTTTAACTCTCTTTATTTTTGCAATCTTGCTGTATTTTGAAGTCATTCTTTTTCCTGCAAGCAAGGGGAAGTTCTTGGATGGAATTACAAAATTTGAGTAACTTAAGTTTCAGAAAATAACTAAATACAGTTTGGTGATTTTAGGAATGCAAATTTTGATTCTCAAAAGTATTTTCCCTACTCTCTCATATTAGGACCTCCTTAACTAACCCCTCAAAATCTTAAAATGAACATAAAATAGTTAGTACTATTATCAAAACTTAAATTAGGGACCAAATAGGTATTAGCCACATATTGTGATATAGATTCATCCGAGCTCAAGCTTCCACTTCAACCTATATATATATATATATATATATATATATATATATATATATATAGATAGATATATGTTAAATCAAACAATATAGTACTCCCTCTACCCAATTTATGGACAATGTTTTACTCGATACAAATTTTAAAAAAAAGACTTTTTGAAACTAGAAGTTTAAAACTAACCATAAATATTTGTGTGGATATAAATAAATCTCATTCAGGATAAAGTAAAAATTTTTAAAGTTAAGTTATTTCTAAATAAAAAAAGTATAATATTCTTTTTTCAAAGAGACTAAAAAGAAAAGTATGATTTCATAAACGGGGAAAGAGGGAGTAGTGAACTAGGTATTTTTAAGTAAGCCAATTATTAGAGAATTAAATGGAAACAGCAGAGCTATTAGTTGTATATTGCACATAACACATGTACTGTTCTCACATAACCTCAAAAAAGTCCAAACCTAAATGTAAGGCACATTTTGGAACAAGACAGGAATCTTCCAGTAGAAAAAGTACATTTAGATTTACTTCAAAAATCACTTACCAAGACAAATAACATCAATATTACCAAGTGCTAAAACATTATTCAAATAAATATATTAAGTGGAATGATAAATTAATATTACAACATCATACAAAACCTACAAGAATGTTCTCTACCATAATTCCCAAATACAATTAATAATACGCCTTACTTTATGCCACAAACCATCCTCGATAACAGATCACAATAGTACAAACCTCAAAAAGAATTTTAACTTTTACCAGTGCGCAGTAAAAAATATTAAATACAGTAAATTTTAAACTTTACTGTTTTGTTTAACGGCGGCAGCGCGTGATGGCACTGCATCCACGTCGGTAAGGATTCGCCTGAGCTCCGGGACGGCAATTGTAGTACGAAGCACCTCTTCTCGAACACGGAACTCTGTTCCTGCTCAGCGCACCGTAGCTAATGTATCTCCTACGGTACGCTAAAATGCGCCGGGTGCTCTCCGACTCCATCGAAAACTCCTCGTCGCTTCCGTTTTCGGCCAACAACTCACCGATCGAACCTTCATAGGTCGATGACGTCATGGACAGCGTCATTGGGTAAAAGCCGAGCTCGTGGGCCCCAGTAGCTGCCGCAACTGCCGCTCCGATGAGGAAAATCGAAGAGATCAATAGAATGGTGAAAGAGTTCACTTTCACCATCGCCATTTTTGTGGGTTTTGGGATTTTCTGAGAAAATGAGAAATTTTCTGGAGAAAGTTTTGTTTTTTAGATGGAAAGTTGGGGAGAAAAATATATAAAGAAGTAATGATTTGAAAAAGAGAAATAAAGGAGTGGGCTATATTTATAAGTGGGGATAAGGATTTTTAAAAAAGGACCTTTCAGATGTGGAATAATAACGAGAGTGCCATGTGATTTTTGTCATTTTGCTTCTAAATAATGCAAAGAGAGGCTAAATTTTGTGTAGGAGGAATAACAATGATAGTGGAAGTTATGATGGTATAAGAACGGCTATAAAACTGAGTTTTTTTCTTCTTTTTTGTTTACTATTTGTTAATCTGGATTCTTTCCTAAGGGTGTTATGTGGTTGGCATATGTACGATTAGGGTGGTAATTTTGAGCCCAAATCCATTCAATCCGTCCAACTCGTTAAGAGATTAAAGGGTTGGGCTACAAATATTTTAGCGTGTGGGTCAATTTGGACTGAGCTAAAGTTAACCTATCATTTTTATAGCTCATTCTGACTTATTAAGCAGCCCAAATACAAACCATGAAACTCACCCAAAACAAAAGGATCTGAATATAACTTATCTAGAAATTTATTTAGTTGCCCCAATTTTTCTTTTTTTTGTATTTTTAATTTTCTGTTCTTTTGTTTTTCTGCACCACTCAACCCCCTATCCATCCCCCGCCCTCCCCCCTCCCCAAAGACTCCCTCAATTTTCTTTTGTATTTTTAATTTTCTGTTTTTTTTTTGCACCACCCTACACCCTACCCCTTCCGCGCAAACCCTCTCAAATCTTTTTTTTGTATTTTCAATTTTCTGTTTTCTGTTTTTCATTTTTTTGCACCACCAACCCCCACCCGCAATTTTTTTTTTCAACTTACACATTTTAAGGTAAATTTTTTTTTTATGCAAGATGAGCATGGTTCTAAAATATGGGTCAAGTTGGCTGGTTGGGTTATGACCCATTGTTTAGCCTATCTTGACCCAGCCCATCTTAGCCCAAGTACACTTTGGACTGGGTTGGGCAATGACACATTTATTGACATAACCCATCTTGACCTTCCAAATTCATCCCAACCCGCTTATTTGCCACTCCATGTACAACAACATATATATTCTTATATTGACATTGTTGGTATAAGAAGAAAAGGTTGCTAATTGCTAGTACTAAAAACTTAGACAAATAAAATCGAAATATGATTTAAGAATTTCTTTTATAAGTCGGGCTAAGAATTGGGAGGATATGCCTTATCTTGGCCCAAGTCTTGCTATGAAATCCTTTGACCTAATTGTTCTTCAATCTTTCTTGATGTTTTTGATGATTTAGCTATCATTCATCGGGTATTCCTATCTTTTGAAACTAACACTTTTATGTTAATTGACTTCGAATCAAATAGCAATTTGAAAAATGTGCTTAAACATGAATGAAGTACAACAACAACAATAGCAACTACCCAGTAAAATTTCACATAATGGGGTCTGGGGAAGGTAATGTGTACGCAGACCTTACCCCTGCCTCGATAGGTCAGAGAGGCTGTTTCCGATAGACCCTCGGCTCAGAAAGACGGAAATAAAAAATAAGAAAAGAGAATTCAATAGTAACTCTAGCAGAAACCGTTATAGTAACAGAAGCATAAAAACCAAACGAAGAATGACATGTAATAACAGTAACAAGAGTCTAAGGCCCGGGTCTAATATAAACAGCAAGAATAGTGCGGGCTCAACATAAACTGCAAGCCATCTAAGATCAACCCTAATCCAACCCCGCCTCACCCCCGGTATGAAGTAAGGAAAGCTCTACTACCCCTATCCTACAACCCTAATGCTTGACCTCCAGGCCTTCCTATCAAGGGACATGTCCTCGAAAATCTGCAGTCGTACCATGTCCTGCCTGATCACCTCTCCCCAATACTTCTTAGGTCTCCCCTTACCTCTTCTCGTACCCACCACGGCCAACCGCTCACACCTCCTCACCAGTGCATCAAGACTTCTCCTCTGCACGTGCCCAAACCATCTGAGCCTCGCTTCCCGCATCTTGTCATCCACAGGGGCAACGCCCACCTTCTTCCGAATATCTTCATTCCTAATCTTGTCTATCCTAGTGTGCCCGCACATCCACCTCAGCATCCGCATCTCTGCTACTTTCATCCTCTGGATATGAGAGTTCTTAACCGACCAACACTCTGCCGCATACAACATGGCCGGTACGAGTTGGGGAAAAAGATCGAGTAACATGTTCAGGTGATCATTTTCGACTTACCTAATTCGACGAGTAGGGCATTAGCAAAATGGTCTATACCATTATATTATTTTAAATTACATATAGTTACAATATGTGACTTGTCTTTTTATTATGTGTCTCGAAGGGGAGCCTTGGCATAACTGGTAAAGTTGCTGTCATGTGACCAGGAGGTCACGAGTTCGAGCCGTGGAAACAACCACTTGCAGAAATGCAGGGTAAGGCTACGTACAATAAACCCTTGTGGTCCGGACCTTCCCCGGATCCGCGCATCGCGGGAGCTTAATGCACCGGGCGACCCTTTTTAATTCTTTTTGTTATGTATCTGGCTAGTATCAAATGAATATGTGTTATACACCTATTATTCATATCCGACAATGAATAACTATCACCGTTGATAAAAACTTAAAGATGGAATATGGTGTTTACTTACACCAAACTAATAAATACATGACATGTGTTTGTACATATAATAGACCGTTAGCAATTAATCATAGTTAAGTAATATATACCTTATAGATGAATTTATATAGTATAAATTCACGATGCGCGTAAATATTTACTTATATTCAACTGCCCCATAGTTATGGCTAGAAAATATAAGGAGCGACAACACAACAATAACGATAATAATTCAGTATAATTCCACAAAGTGAAGTTTGGGAAGGATAGAGTGTATGCAAACCTTACCCGTACACTGTGAAGATAAAAATGTTTTCGATAGACTCTCGGTTATAGAAAAAATAAAAATAAAATACAAACAACAAGCAGTAACAACGTCAAAATAAGATGATAGAATAATTGAAAGAAGTGAAAAATTTAGGAGGAAGGAGGACATATATAGAGCAACATCGAGGGGGATATAAACATTCCTGCATACATATAACAATGCACGGGTCAAACAGCTTATCCTTACACTCTGAACATTCTAATTTACATTTAATGTGTGTATTCGTTTCAAACAATTAATTTCTCAAAAATATATTGCCAACTTCAGCTTAAGAATTGTCAAAATATACAAATTTTGTGAAAATTCTATATTTGTATTGCTTCTGGCCTGAATTTGAAAAATAAAATTTGGTTTTTAATCTAGACGTGTTGCTCGAAAGAAAAAGAATAATCTAAGGCGTGTTGATTTTGATTTTGGAAGTGGGACATCATTACATTTAAATGGAAGAAGATGGTACAACATGATGAGCTGTGGTTACTGATTGATGAAGCAATTGTTGGTACACGTGTCATTTATTCATGGACAGATGCTTTTTCCAATTTGTATTTCAAATAATTCTAAAATATGTACAAATGTATTCGCCGTTTTGGTCTTTCTTTTTCGTCTTCTATGATGGAGTTAATTTCGGCTTTATTTGCGCCTTTCTTTTCTTTTTATTTATTTATATATCTCTCTTTGTACTTTTATTTTTCCATCAAATGTATATTGACAAAATATCAAAGTCTCTAGAAAAAAAATTAAAAGTCATGACTAGCTGTATTTGCATTTAATAGTACGAATTATGAAGTCTTATAATCCGTTCAAGAAATTGATTCTAATTTAGTGCTGACTTTTTTCCTTTTGGCATGACTTGTATCATTATTATTAGTACTTAATATTATGGAGATATTGTTTTTTCAATTTCTTCTCGTCCTATCTCAAAACTGCTAAGGATGACAATCTATGTTCAACCCGAAAATATTCAGAATAAACTTACTTCCATTGGCATGATATTCTGAGAAGAATGATAGGTGCTAAAATGGTAAGATGAATTTTAATATTCATTCATGATAACGAATAAGGTGTAGCTTTTATTTAAAAAAATCTGCAAATACCATATAGGATGCTTCTAGTTTAGCTATATTTGAGTACGATCTCGTAGTATTTATGATAACATTAGCACTACTTTTTTTTGCATAACAAATAACTTTTTGTTATAAAATAATAAAAGAAGAAGAGTAGTATTGCAGAGAAAAGTAGAGAGAGAGAATTCTTATTGAATTTTGGGATGAGTTACAATGGAACAGAGCCCTCTATTTATAGGGAGAGGGTGACTTAGCCACCAAGTAATAAACCCTAGAATCTCTCTAAATATAGACATTCACCATAAATAAAATTCTATTTATAACACTCCCCCTTGAATGTCTATTCAACAGATAATGTGCCTCGTTAAAACCTTGACTAAAATAAAACCAGTGGGGAAAAAAAATTCTAGAGAAGGAAAAAGAGTACACATATCTAACAATACGCCTTTTGGTTGCCTCGTTAAAAACCTTGCAAGGAAAACCCAGTGGGACAAAACCTTGTATGGTAAAAAGAGTACAACGTGTATTAACTCCCCCTGATGAGAGCATCAATTCACATCCTTAAGCATTTGCATTCCAATCTTGTGCACCATCTTCAAAAGATCTTTGGTAGATATTTGATAAACAAATCAGGCATATTAACTTGAATGAATATATTGCACCTTGAAATCATCATTCTTGATAGAGATGAATTGTCTTCATATGATCTTGTTGGAATCGTCAGTTCAATATCTTCACATAGAGGTGAAAACTCTTGCTATCATATTATCATGCATATAGTTATAGCAAGATACATTTGTGCACAAATTGCACTGAGGAAGTGGTACTTCAAGATCAAGAATTGTATATGCTTCAAGCAACTTAAATCCTTCATGGATTGTCATATAAGTTAAGTCGTATAAGTCATATAATAGACTTTTGATGCATATCGAGTTTTCATGTCATGCTAGACATATAAGATACCGAAAACTGATTGCACATATCATTGGCTTCATACTTTCAAGTGTTTGAACTACAAGTTCAAAACTACATGTCTTTCATAGGAAACCAAATTCTACTTGAATTGTTTCTCC